AATCAGTAAGAAAATACCAACCAGACTTTAGCTGCTTTAATACTAAGGGGTCACTCTTGTTTCAAAAACCTTTTTAATTCTTAATCTAATATTTTTAAAAAATATTTTAGTAACTGCCTAAACCTTTTACACAATGAGATAAAAATGAAATATTAATTAAAATACAGGGATTTCACCCTTAATATGTAGTATAATGGTCCCAATCCTGCAAATGGACCAAAGGCAGAATTACACAGCTGGGGGTCATATGAGGTTGCAATTAAATGAAATATTAATTTCATTTTACTAAGTCTGGCTAAAGATTTTGGTATGTTTCCCTATATCAAGTTTAGCTCTTAGATTATTATAAATTCCTTATAAAAGAAATAACACTTCTGTTGCTCTACTATATCAGATTTTGAAGATAGTAAAGTTCTTTGAGAAAGAAATTCTATTAAAACTTTAAATTAACATGTTAATCAAGGGCCTAATCCTGCAATCCTAACACAGTTAGCCTTTGCTCATCCAGAGAGTCCCAATTTGTAGAGACTACTGCCATGTAAAGTTTGCAAGATCATTCCTTAAATCTGTAATATATTTTACAAAGTCTTGACCTTTTAAAATACAAGGACCTTATATTTAAGTTGTTTTAATTGTCCCTATTTAAAAACATGTTCTGTGAGATAAAATTTTAAATTTCAGAGCTTTAGGCATACAAGGCTGATCCATCTCTAGGAATTTTAGTCTAATGTATTGTATTTAACATAAAATAAAATTATAAACTGGTGTAATGGATATCACCTCAGGTAATATAATTATAATATTGCTATTAAAGCTAGATGAAAGCCAGTAATTTTTTTTTTCAAAATTTAAAAAGTCTAACTGCTACTATTTAACAACATTAAGCAGCATCTATTTATAATGAACAAATTGTAAAATTGATCAGTTCCTTATTGAACTGCAAAAATCCAAGATTGAAGAATGTGCTGTATATGAAATAGCTAGACTTCTGTGAACTTCAGGCACTGCCAGAATGTTTTAGCCCAGAGTGTGACAGGCACATACCAAGTTGAAGGGCCATGTCCCATTACATCTTAAAAAAGAAGAAGGATGGAAAGAAGCAGCAGCATACAGAAACAGCATACTAAGGGACAGGAATTGTTAAAAATGCTTCTGCCTGCACCATTGCAAAGAAAAAAATTAGACACCCACCATGTGTCATTTCATGTATGATGGGGGGGATTATATACCAGAGAAAATTTCCATCTGTAGCTATTTCCTTTCAAAATCCATCTTGCTCTTTTTTCTTTGCTGTTCTCATTTTCCCTGCATTTCTCTTTAACTTGCTCCGCCTCATCTCCTTTCCCTGTGCTTCCGTAGAATACATAGGGAGGGAATGCAGACATCACAAAACCCATTTGGAGGAGGGCTGCTTTTAAAAAGATTGTGGGCCACAGTTTGGCCAGCCCTGTAATATAGCACATCACACAATCCAACCTGAATATTAACTTAAACTGTCTTGGATCTGGCCACTGTTCATAGATTGAAAACTGTGTGAAGGACTCATAAAACAAAAGAAAATATCATTTTGACTGATATGTTGTAGAGGTGTCAGTGGGGTACTTCAGATATTGGTAGCAGACCCAAATTGAGTCAACATCTTTATTAATAATCAGGAAGAAAGGATGAATAGTAACATTGTTTTAAATTCTTATGAGTCGGCGAGTATGAATACAAATACAAAGGAAACTTGAGTGGAATTAGAATGAGCTTTAACTTGAAAATGGCAGGCTAATACATGGGGAGGGGAGCAGGAATCAGTCAAAGGAATGTACTCAGAAAGCAGTAATGCTGCTAAAAACTTTGGGGTGGTAGTCAGCAGCTAAGTGGATGTGTCTTTGGCTGCACGACAGAGGCATCTCATCATGGGCTAGAGAGAAAGTCTGTATGGCAGGGGTACACCCTCACCTTGTGTACTACATATACGTTTGAATCCTTTGGTACAAGAAAGATGTCAGTATTCTGAAGAGAATTCAGAGAACAGAAGTAATTAAGGGGCTTTAAGTGTGTATAGGTTTACTAAAACTGGGACATTCAAAACTAGACTAAGAAAATACAGGAAATACACAGTAAGGAACAATCCTGCACTGACAGGATGGACACGGTGATTTAACAGGACTTTTCAGCCACAAGTGTCTTGATTACGATGCATAAACATAAAATCTTAAACTTCCATATTTTGTAGCTGATGTTGTCAGAACATGGTATTTTTATCCTAACCTTTAAAAAGAGTCTGACTGAGCAGGCTTCTAATTGATGGAGTTCTGATCAGTACAATACATCAGCACATCCTATGCTTAGCACTAGAAAGTGAAGGCATTAGCTACTGAAATACTCAGTTTATGAAATAAATTAATCCCATGTCTTTCTCCAGATGCGGTTCTTCAACTCACCCAGGCTTTACCTATTGTTAGAATCCTACACTCTCTTCTACTCACTAGAAATTCTAAGGTACTGACAACTTTTTGTGGTCTCCGTTAAATACCAAAAGGGTTTCATGTCACATTCTAAGACATGAAATATAATGGGAGCCTAGGACACACAAGTGACCACACTTCTATGTAAATATACAAGCTTGTGAAAGCAAGGCTCTTGAAGTAGAAAGATATATATATGAGAGAGAGAGAACATTGATATGACACTGTCAAGTCAGTGTCATTTCATATTGCCATAGCCAAATCAGTCTAATGTCTATTGTATGATGCATACATAAAGGTATTTTCTGCCTTAGCATAATACTTTAGCCAGCCTTGTAATATCAACTGTAAGGAAAACAAGTGCTGCACATCTTGTATTCCTCTTTTCTTTTCCCCAGTGAAGACCTTTACACATAATACATCAGTGTTTACCTTTGCTAGCAATTTCTGTAAGCATATATGAAATTATTATACACCTCCAAGTCAGTCACATAGAACACAAGCTGCGCATGTCAGCAGAACTTCCATCTTCACCTTATCATCTTTCTTGATTAAAAGAAAATTACAAGGTTCAAATCTTCTAACAAAGAGGAAGAAATGTATTCAGGAGAACAGAATAACACCTTTCTCTTACAATTAAAATTTTACACTTCAGCTGCAATGACAACTGTATTTCATATTCTCATGAATACATATACTTTCAATCATAACAATGTTCTAGTTCAAATTTTCAATCAACAAACTAAGGTCCCAATAGGATAGGGCCCAAACATCTTTTCAAACTCATGCACCCAAGGAGGGGGGGGGCGCGGAGGGGAAGGGGCGGCAGAGGACAAGGGGAGATGAAACAAGAATCTTCTGTACTGTTCTCATAGGTAATGCTTCACATGAAGAAACCAGCCCAAAATGTGATTTCCATCCTACAGTAGAGATGCATGCAGCACGTTTACTATAATACTATCTGACCATACACTAAACACAGCAATTGCATTCCACATATATCATGCCTTGTCTAACATGGTCAGAACCTCTTTTATTCTGTATGCTGTATTTCATCATCTTTGCTTGACTGAACCTCATTCTGTGCATGTGCTGCCACCTAAATATTCACCTCTCTCTCCCTGGTTGGGTTCCCCCACCTGCACCCCCCTTCTGGTGTTGCTTTGTTTTTTAAACTGGGCAATCCCCACATGTTTTCATTGTGGTGTTATTGTAAACTTACATCAGTTATCCTAACAACAGCAAAAATCTATACACTCCTCTGAAATGTGAACTCTTCCACGGTCCCATCGTTTTGACTACCTCTTCTGCAAAATCAAACGAACCCACCCCGAGCGGAAGTCACCATTCAAGTGGTTACATGTGGAGGTGGGAGCTTGGCCAGGAAAGTTCTTAGTTTGGCAGAAGATCCCTGACCCGGACCCCTCCTGTTATTTACCAGGTAAACTATGAGGGCTATCATCGCACATAGGAGCAAATAGCAGAACCCAACAGCGCTTCGGAAAGTTGTCCCAACACATACAGGCAACCAGAAGTGTAAGGGGAAAGAAGATTTCAGCCTGATTCGGGGCGCAGCTTGTTTGCTTAGAAAAATCAGACTGCGATGGCCCAATGTGTTTTGGCAGCCCCCTCCCTCTCTTTCGGGGGAAGACTGGGCGTGGGGGCTTAAAGCTGTTAGAACTGGGATTGTTACAACCCAGCCAAATACCCGCCACCACCCCTTCGCATTCCAGAGTTGAGAGTTGCAGCTGGGTTTTTCCACCCTTTCCTGATCGCACTTCTTGGAGACGACCGGGAGGCCAGCCCCACCGCAGGAAACTTCGGGTTGATTTGCTTTTACGTCCCAGATACCCTACTGTGTGTAGAGAACTAGCCCGAACGGAAATAAACTACACTACACCACTGCCCAGAACATAGGGGGATATTCCCCCAGCGCTGGGGCCGGAGAGGAGAAAGTTCCACGAACAAAGGGAGCAGCAACAGCTCCGGCACAAACGCTACCTGGGAAACTGGCTAGAGGAGAGGGAGAGAGTTTACGAGACGTTTAAATGCCCAAGTCGCTTGCTCACTCTCCAAGCACCGCAGCAAGGAGGCGCAGGCCGGTGAAATCCCCTTGGACACGGAGAGCCCCCCAAGTCCTGCCTTCTCGCCGTGCGGAGCTCGGGGGAGCGCGAGCCCCCCCGCGCCCAGGAGGAAGGGAGCTGCTGGAGGCGAACACACCGAGCCGGGCTGGAACGCCCAGTCCCTACGAGCCCCGCAGCTCCGGCGGGAGAACCCCGAGACAATGCCCCCTCCAGGGCGCCGCCGCCAGCTCTGCCCAGGGGAAGCCGCCTTCCCAGCCCGCAGCGGGACGCTGAAGGCAACTATCCGCCCGGGGCGCTTCCTTACCTGAGCTCCAGCTCCCCTCCCGCTGCTCCGATCCCGAAGCAGCGGGACACCACACCCCCTCCCCCGCAGCGCAACAGTGCACCCGTGGCCGGCGCCTCCGCAGCTGGTGGGCGCCGAGGGCTCTTTCCCCAGGGCAACCCCTGCGGGGCCACTTACCTGCCGCGAATTGGGCTCGGGCTGTTCCGAGCTGGGCCGGTGAGGGGCCGGCCAGCAGGACGAACAGCGGCAGCCAGGCGGCGGCTCCGGCTCTCGGCTCCATGGCGAGTTTGGAGAAGTTTGGGGAAGAGAGGCGGGCTGGCCCCGAGCGGCACGTTCCGCAGGCAGGGCTCGCCGGGAACCCCCCACCCAGCTGCAGCCGCCACCGCCTCCTCCTTCGCGGCCCTCGGGCCCGCCCCCGAACCACCCCGAGGGCAGCACCAGCCCGGCGCTTCCACGCTCGGCAGCGGCTGCTCCCAGTAACTCCAGAGTTACTTTGCTGCTGCTCTGCGAGAGGGGAGGGAGGAGCCGCGCGCGCACGTCAAACCCTCTGGTTCCCAGCGCTGGGCAGGGGGAATGTGGGACTCCAGCCCGGAGCCCAGACGCCGCCAGAGCGGGGCCCGCCAGCGCCTCCTGCTGCAGACACGCGGACATGCAGCCTGGCGGGCGGCCACTGGTACACCAGCTGCTGCTTGAGCCGCCGGGGCCCGGGCTCTCTCGTGTAGCAGCCTCCTCTCCCGGACAGCGGGTGCAGTTTCAGCAGGAGAGAGAGATGGGGAACGCTTCTGTCTCGGGCGATCGCGGTTTGTTTTCTTCTCCAGCCAGGGGAACAAAGGGGAAAGAGGCTGGATCACAAACTCGCCCCTACACTGGCAGACCGGAATCGTCCTAGCCACTGGTTAGACTTACTCCACACTCTCAGTGATTTGCTTTGGCTGGAGTTCCTCTTATTTTAAAATATAAATATTGTACTGGAGGGAGGAGGGTATTATTTCAATGAAACCCGCAGATGCAAAGCTCGACACATTTTGGAGCCAGTCTGTTATATACAGTTATCATTGGGATGGGGGTGTATATACACACACATTCTCTGGCAACACATGTAGCTTGTAATGCCATGAAGTCTTATTTAACTGCATTGGCATTGAAATAAACCATATACTCAATTATCGCCATATGTACTATATAGGGGCCTGATCCTTTCTTCCACGTGTTGTCCCATTGACTTTAACAAGACTGTGCCAGAGCAGGAATGTGGCTGTTTACAAGATCCAGACCTAATGTATGCTATGCAGTAAAATCCTGATCCTCCTGCACCACTGAATGCCGTGGGAGTTTTGCCACTAACTTGAATGGGCACAGGATTAGGCCCCTTAAAAATACTTGAAATAATAGGTAAAGGCATCAGAGTTCACATTTATTTACACCAGATGACATTTCCCCCCAATTTTTAAATGTGAACTTGCTTACTGAAGAGTGTTTTCCTCGTTGCATAGTAAGTTATAATTAGGGATGTTACGAAATGATTGCAACAAAACCTGAAACCACTGAAAACAGACAGGTTTTGTTACAGGCCCGAAATTCAGCCCAGGTTCATCAAAAGGTTTACTATGGTTCAAAACCCTTTCCAGCCAACTTGTGCCAGTTGATAGGTTTGCCTCTGTACCCTGCAAAACTCATGGTTTCACAGCAAAACCAGGTGAAACACAACATGGCAGATTATTTTCTCCTTATTTAAATACAAAGCACACACAGGTGTGAACTCATGTAAATAAAAATCAAATAAAATATTCTCACAGGTCCTGTGTGAGGTAATGCCAAGATTTCTTCTGCTCTTCCTGACCCCTGGATTTGTGAAAGGGAATTGGAATACAATTAACCTACACCAGTATAGCTGTAATTTAAAATCTAGGCCCTGGTCATTTGATAAGTCTTCTCAGGATCAGGGCTAATGTATTAGCTTTCAATAAATACACAGAAAACCCAGCACAAAGACTTTTCTCTAAAAAGGAGGTGTTGGCTTTTAAGACTTTTACTGTGTAGAGGAATCAGATTATTGTGCCCAGGTAAATGTTTTATTTGGGTGGAGTGATTGAAAACCAATCCAAATGTATTTCTATGGAATACAAATAGCTGCGCTTCAAAGAACATTGAGTCTTTGTTTAAACTGACAGAACCAGAGAAATTCGGAGTTATATGAGCATGACGCATTAACTCCTGATCTAACTGCACTGGTATTCTAGGTGTTGCAGAAACAATGGGCCATCTACTGATTTTAGGTACATATACTGCAGTTCCTCTGAGTAAGGAGAACCAAAGACACTTTGTTAGCTCTAATTTTGAATGTATTGATTTAAATTAAATCATAATATTATCTTCAATTCGGGTTTTTGTATATATACAAACCCCTGAAAATATATAGAGAGACTGATTAGGTCATCTAAACCCCAGTCCTGCAGCTGGATCCCTGTGGCAGACCCCTGAACCCTTAATGATAGATCTCATATTGCCACACTAGCACAGGGGTCCTCCTTTGTAGATCCATTTGCCCGATTGGGGCCTGTAATCCATTCCACTGCCAATGAATACCTGAAGTACAGTATATTTACAAGTGATTTATCCAAACTAGTTTTCATAACTTCCAATGGTGAAGTCTTATGATTTCCTCTCTTTCCTGTCACTCAAAGGCTTCTCATTACAGCCAACATTATTCAGGTTATGGAGCAATACATGGACCTTCTTCCTTCAGAATGAATTCTGCTTCTTAATTGAGTGGAGGGGTCACCAGTGAATAGAGCAACTATGAAGTATATGGCCTTTCCTTCCCCAGGGTATGAGCAGAGAGTCTGTGGTGCTCAAATCCATGTTGACTCAGAGAGAATTTTTTTTAATGTGTAATAAGCACACTTAAAAATACTGACATTGACATATCAGGTTTGAGATCATTAGTAGTATGATGGGAATGGATTCATTATTCTTGCTTTTACATTGCTATGTCTGTGAATGTTTGCTGCCCTTTACTTTGAATTAAGAGCAAAGTACTATACATTTAAATTTACAGCTTGCACTTCTTTAAAAAAATCTTCTGAGCTAAGAGCCCAGATGTCAAGTGTAAGCCTGAAGTCAACTAAAACAGCAGAGAAACTCTCAGATGACTTTCCCCCAAAATCCCCTGGAGGGGGATTCTGCATTGCAGTTGGAGCCCTGAGGAACCCACCATCTTTAATCCCAGATGATTATAGTTTCCAACTAAGGTGCAAAATAAATCTCCCCAAACTAGAAAAAGCTTAAATGCTTCCAGAACTCTGCTGGATCTCCCCATCCTTTACGTATTTCTCATTAAAGCCCCTCCATTGCACTGTTGGGTGCCACTAAATCAATCGGAAACCGAGGAAACTGTGACACAGCCAAACTAAAGAAAACTTTTTTAAAATAGCCCCTTTCACAAAGGATGAATTTCTTTATCTCAGGACTTGGAGAATATTTTTCCTGATTATGAAAAAAAGCACTTTACTATATGTATGAACCTTGGTTTATCATTGACTTGTTTGGTCATTGACTGTGTGTATAGCAGGAGGTCTTTGTTTAGTGACAGGTTGTGGATTCATAGCTACTTAGTTGACTTGCAAATTTCTCTAATTGAGGGGCTTTTTATTTCTACCCATCTTATCATCTAAATCTGATGCGCTTAGATCATACCCACCTGCTGATGCAAGGAAGTGCAAATTCCACCCTCTATACTAGTGAGGGCCGCCATTAGAGTGACCAGATAGCAAGTGTGAAAAATCAGGACAGGGGGTGAGGGGTAATAGGAGCCTATATACGAAAAAGATCCAAAAATCGGGACTGTCCCTATAAAATCGTGACATCTGGTCACCCTAGCCACCATTCCTGTGGAAGAATCCACCTCTGGCTAAGGGAAGGCAGAATTTCAACTGCTGACTTCCCCCTGGGGGTTTTGGCAGAGAGGGCAGTTTTAATCTCTGCCATGGGTGTCATAGAAGCCCCACAAATGGAGGCTGCAACAGGAATATGATGGATCTGCACATCTCCCAGTTGTCCTGGCTAGAAAGGACATTGTAGATAACTTGTACTGCTGCATTCCCCCTCCAGAAACATTTTTTGCTAGAGGGTATCTTCACTGCAGGAAACTAACATAGACTGTCAGTGAATTTTGTCCCACAATGCCTAGTGAAGGGTAAGTGAGAAATTTCCACATAAGCCCAAAACCACTTTCTCAATGTCAAAGATCTAGGATACACACCATTCAGGTGCCGCTATAATAGTCTGAACAAACATGCTAAACAGCTGATAGGTATTTTTTGCAAAATATGGTTGCCCTATTGCAATGCAGACAAGAGCAAAAAAAATTTTTTCACTCAGAACTACCTGCTGTCTCACTGGGATGTAGAAGGGATTCCAAGAAGGTTCAAAGGTATTTTTTTCAGGTGTCAAACTACTATGATCAGATTTTCAAAAGTACACAGCACACAGTAGCTCCCATCAACCCTTCCCTCTCCCCTCCATTCATCTCCCTCCATTTCATTTAGGTGCCTAAATGGGGTCTGAGCTGTTGTAATATCTGGCCCTTCAAGGCTACATTCAAGAGCTTTTTGATGGAGATACTCAAGAAGAGAGAGCATTATACCGATCCAAGTTTTCTTGATAAAATCTAATATTCTCAAGACAAGATCTTCATTTTATTTTGAACTCTGAAAAGAACATCTCAGTGAGACCTAGACAAAAAAATCTCAGCTAAGTGAATTAGTTTATTGTCCAGGACACAAGTTAGAATTTTTGAAATTCACTCTTTCCGTGGAAGGTCTATGGCTGACAACAGACTGCTATAAAGGCTGGAGAAAAGGTGGCAATGCTCAGAATCTCTCTGTCCCCTCTGAAGGGACTTCCTGCACATCTTCACACAATGGGTTTTTGGCAGCAAAGTAGAGGCAGATGAAGGATGGGAGCGGGGCTGGGAGTGGACTGCTGCACATTAGTGGGTACAGAAGGACTGCAGAGGCTGCCTGAACTTGAGGCTGGAGTAGCTGTCACTGGACAGCTTCACTGTTACTCCATGAACTGGGTGAAATGAAGCCTCCCAATTTAGAGCTTCTGTATACGTGCCCAACTATTTCAGCTGGGTACTGGGAATTGGACTTTTACACCTGAGCAGCAATGGAGTCATCTTATGACTGCTCATCCATCCTCAAGGCTAAGGAAGCCTTTGCAGCTCTTTCACATGGTCCCCTATCATTACATGAGGGTCAATGGCTGTGTGTGTGTTCAATTATAGAGAGGGCTGTGTAACAGTTCCCATTCCAAGACTCTTGTTCTGTCTTACTCGTGATTCTTTGAAGCAACTTTCAGGCTGAAAGTTTCCATTCTCTGCCAAAAGGTAGGGTTTTTGTTTGGTTTGTTTTCCTTTTATGAAGCTTTGATCAAAAATGATGCAGTAATTTTTAAACAGGAAAATGAAAAAAATACGCTTTTCCTATTATCCACCAAATTCTTGCAACTTATCTTTGAGCAACTTTGTCACCAAAAAG